TTATGTTTTTTTTCCCCTTAATTTTTTTTCTTTTTCTTTTTTTTTTTTTTTTTCTTGTTCTGTACTCAGGACCGGAGCTACACAATTCATAGAGTCCTCTTATTCACAGATTATTAGGATTTTAAAGATGGCTATTGTAGAGCATTAAACCAAATCTGGGACCATTCCCAACTTGTTTCCTAAGGAGAAACAGCAATACTTATATGGAATGCTAGGAAAAACCAGAGGCTACTTGTGGCCTGGGGAGGGGATCAGTGTCCTGTACTCCAGTGACCCCTGGTGGCTCATAGGTACCTCAACACCCACTGGGATTTCTGCTGAACCCTAATATTTGGCATTAAATTTTAAGACTCTGTGAAGCCCTTATGGTGCAATGGCTAGATGGGAAGAAAGGACGTCGGGGTGGGGGTTAGGCCCAGGTAACCCCTAAGATCCAGGAAATGGGTAAAATTATTTTTTCTATTCTGATCCATCAGCATCACTTTGCTTTCAAGACGACCCTCTGGGTTTAAATATCTTTTCCCCTAGTCAGGTTTTCGCTACTGATAAATTTTCTTGCCTCTTGCTGTGCCCTGTTCCCCAGACCCCAGATACTCAGCCTCGAAAGTGAATTTAAATCCCTTTATAGATGGACACTGAATTTGTTGGCATAGGAATGGGCTGTGTAGAGCAGCCTGTGCCTGTTTGGGAGTCCCCATATGTCCTTTTCCCTAAATCCTGCACCAAATGAGTCAGGAAGCAGGGCACACAGCATTAGTTTCAGTGTGATTATGCATCATAAACAATATCAGAATGAAAGTGAAACTTTTGATTTTGATGTTTCTTTAACATTGTCTTGTCTAATCCACCTATCATTCCCCCTACCTCTAATAGCTGAAATCGTTTATGAAACGGGGAAGAGTTGTTGATGTCTAACTCCTTCCATTAAATTAATAAGTACTGACCTCCTAATATTTAAGTGTTTACTATCTATTGCTGTAAAGTTTTGTACATTTTGTAAACTTTTTTTCCCAAATAGTAGATGTCTAAAATCGTTGTACATCTGATTCTTTTATATTCCATTGTTCAGCACAAAGTGTGGTTTTTATTTAGAATAATAAAAAAAAAAAGAAATTTGAAGTGGGAGTTCTTTTCCTGTATACTGTAAACATACTCATCTTGAGTTCCAAATATCTGAGCTCATCACCCTTTCGGTAGCACGTTTCAGCAGATGCCAAAATTCTTTCATGTAGCACATTTTCCTTTCCTATAGCTGGAATTCCCCAAGATTAGCTTGTGGATTGGTTTTAGTGGGAATTTAAGTCAGACAGTTTTTTCAGGGGCGCATCCCTCAGGGGATCTTCCATTGGCCCAGAGAGAGCTGTGGGCCTCTGCTGATAACCAGTTGGACCAAGTAAGAGATTTGGCCAGACACATTGTCTTGTCCTTACTGTTTAATTCATGGTGAAGCAGTGTGTTTTCTAGTGGAGAGTTGCAGATGGAAAGTGGAAGGGAAAGGAAGATTGGAACAGGGAGGAGGCAGAGGTTGCACGGGGTTGGTACCAATATGCTTCCACAGAGGAGACGGACCTCTAGCAGGTAGGGGGTGATGTGGTGCATTTGGTCCCAGGGCACATGGTCCAGGCCCTGTTCTCATTGCTGCTCAGCAAGTGTTTGCTGAGGAGAACAACCTTATAGCAGTCAGCACAGCCGCTTCTCACTGTCCCCTTCCATGTATGGAAGGGCCCTGAGGAAGTACTCATACCACCAAGATGACCACTGTTCTCGGGAAATGGCCCCTGTGACATCCTGGGTTATGACAGGTGTAAAGTTGGATTTCCTTCAGAAAGCTCCCAGAGCCTAGGTCAGAGGAGGCAGTGATACCAGTATCTGATCTAGGGTTGCTTTTTAAGTGGGAACAGTTTTAATGTGATTTCTGTGTTGTTAGGTTAAACCCTTACCGTACCTGTCAAGTCACACCTCAGGCTCCTGGGTCGGAAAACCTTCAGCTCTGTGCCACCGAGCAGCTGTTGTAGTTTAAAACCCTTTCAGGTTTGGGCCCAGTGAGCAGTGGATAGCAGATACGGTTTCTCTCTGCACTGCTGACAAACCTGGACGTGTGCACCACTGGGGCATGTGTTTAAATGTTCCCAGAGAGCGCAGGCTGAGATAAGAGCAGAGGGCACGCCCTCTGGGATATGAGTTGTTATTCCAAGTTAAACATTCCGGCACACTGCTCTTCAGCCGGACCGAGGAGACGGTGAAGCGATAAGTGATTTCATCTGCAAGTTTTCACTCCACAAACAAGTGAAAGGCGGAATCTTGGACCTGTTCTTAGGCTTTTACAGCAGAGTTTTTCATGTTTATGGTCTTAATAAACTGATAAATGAGTCTTCCGGAAGATCTACTTGCTAATGAGAAGAACATCTTTACCTCTAGAACAAGTATGAATAAATGTAAGCTGCTGGACAGGAAAATAATGAAAAGACATGACCAGGAAGAAGTGACTAGTGCCAGAGCCCTGCCCTGAGACATAGCAGGGAAATTTCCACTTTGGCCTTCCCCAACCCTGCACAGGGGACAAAGACCAAGGGATGCAACAACTACCAGCTCCTGCTGTTGGTGTTTCCAAGGTGTGTTCCTGGAATGGATGTCCCCCGATACTTTCCTGTGATCTGGAGAGCGAGAGATATGGAGCTCTGTGTCTCCCTAGAGCAGTGATGGCAAAGTTACTGGCACCACCCCCCATGCACATGCATGCTGCAGCTGACTGTTTATTATCATTGAAAGCTCTAAAAGGTTAGCCATCACTCCCCTAGAAGGTAGTGTTTTTTCCCCTTGTACCGGGGACCGAACTCTAGACCTCACACTTGCAAAGCCAGGGGCAGAGCCACTGAGCTAAATCCCCAGCCCTAGAAGATAGTGTTCTAAACCCAAAGCTGCGAGGCTTGCTGTGAGGAGCATGGGCTTTGAGACAGTGCATCTGCTCTGGGGGAGGAGAGGCAGGATGGACAAGGGGGAGGGGAGGATATCAGCAAGGAAATGGAGCTGTGTTTCCTGAGTGGTCAAGGGTGGAGAAACCATCCTGCTGACCCAGCTGCTGGGTGTCTGTCTCAGACCAGCTTCACCTCACTCCCGCTTCCCAGCCCCCTCTACTTATCATGGCACTGAGGATGCACAGCTGGGGAATGTCCTGCTGAGGCCTCCTGGTTCCTTGGCCTCTGGCCTATTGTCCCCACAACCTGCACAGTGAGCTGGAAGATCAACAAGCACACACACAAAAAGGAAAGTCTTGTGAAGTTCCTGTGCAACTCGGTTTTTTTTCCGGCCAGGGTGATTTATGAGATGAGTATGTCTAGCTTTCTTTGCAGAGCATCCCTGTAGCCTCAGCTCCTTTTCCAAACCTAGCTGTAATGCAGAGTTCTCAGAGATCCAGAGCCATGGCTATATCTCTTATTTATTTCACTTTTCAGAAGTGTGCATGCGTGGCTCCCTTAGTACACAGAACCAAAACAAATAGTGCAACACCAAAGAAGACCTGCTCTTTATCCCTCCTCACTCCCTCTGTATCTTCCCACCTCAGTATTTTGAAATATACTTAAAATCGGCCCTGAGCATCCTGACCACCTCCCCCATTTCTCCACCCCATCCCTCAGTCTATCACCTTCCCCTCCAGCCTTTTATTTTACTAGTGGAGGAACCTAGAATCTACCTCACCTGGCTATGAAATTGCAGCGTGGAGATGAGGTATTTCGAGGCAAAGAGGGTGCTGGAAGTTCAGGCTTGGATGGGGATGGGCCCTGCTGCAATGGACATACTGCCCTCCTTGGTGATGATGATGGAGTGCTGTGTGGAGGAGGAGGAAGAAGAAGCCCGGGCGCCTGCCCTGGCCTGGTCCTTTGGAAGGTAACGGACCACAGTGCTCCGGAGCCGATCACGGAAGCTTGGGCTGAGAAAGTTGTAAAGGATGGGGTTGGCAACACAGTGCAGCATGGAGAAGCAGTCAATGATGTCATAGAAGAAGTAGAGCACGTAGGCCAGGTAGCAGTGGAGGGAGATGTGGGTCCCCTGCAGACTGAGCAGCAGCAGAGTCACATGGTAGGGCACCCAGCAGATGACAAAGACAGCTGTGTAGGCGCACAACAGCCAGCAGTGGCGCCAGCCCTCAGCCTGTCCCTGCTTCCGAAGCCGGCGAGCTGTCAGCACATTGAAGACCACGATGAGCGGGAAAGGCAGCAGGAAGCCCAGTACAGTAGTGGATAGAGTCACCACCAGGGCCCACGTGCTGTACGTTTCAAAAGGTGCCATGAAGAGGCACATGGGCTCGATATCATTCACCAGCTGGATGTGGACCACCTCAGGCAACGGGATGATGACTGAGAGGACCCAGACACCTGCACACACGGCCCGCCGAACTCGGTGCTGGTTGTGCTGCCAGTAAGGAGATGCGTTGGTGAGTGTGACGTAGCGGTCGACGCTGAGGCACACCAGGAAGAAGATGCTGCTGTACATGTTGGCAAAGTAGAAATAATGAGTGAAGCGGCAAGAGAAGCTACCCCAGAGCCAGGTGTAGTCTAGCATGACCTCCAGCATCCACACAGGCAGAGACAGGATGATGCCCAGGTCCGCGATAGCCATGTTGAGGACATAGAGGTTCAGCAGTCCCACGCGGCCTGAGTGGCGCCAGTTGACGCAGATTACCAGGAGGTTCTCCACCAGCCCAAGCACAAAGATGGCCAGATAGAGGACGAAGAGGACCACTCGCTTGGTGTCCTCACTGAGCTCTACATGGCACTCGGACAAGGTGTGGTTGAAGAAGTCGAGCAGTTCTGTCCAGTTGTGGATCTCTCTGAAGTCACTGTCAGGCACCACGGTGGGCCCCTGCGAGGGGCCAGGCCCCAAGCTGGGTTTGACTGACATGAGGATAGCAAAGGCCTGTTGGGAAGAAGAGGGGGTTGGAAGAGAAAGGACACCTGGAAAGCAGTCTTGTGTCCCCCAGGCAGAAGGCACAGCAACTTGGGAGTTGTGGCGGGGGGGCTGAAAAGGCAAGAAAGGGATGTTTAGCATTTGAACTGCTACTTGCCAGCTTTGACCCAAGAGCAGAGCCACTGTGTTGAGGAATTTCAGTGCTGAAAGAGGCGAGGACTGTTTGTGCCCAACAAGGTTTCCTCCTTCCCAGCCCAGCTGTCCCCTCAGCTCCAGGTGGTTCCCAATCTTCCCCCTCTCAGCACTTCAATTCTTTGGCACTCTGGTACGTGTCTTCCTTAGGGGCTCCTGCTCTGTCTTGCTATGTGGGCCATAGGAGGGGACACCCCCACACCAACTCACAAACTTGGTAGAGTTTGTCACCCACTTCCATCCCTTCTGTGGGAGACAGACACTCACCTGAATTTTCCTCTGGAGCACCTCTGTCCTGGAGGCCCTGCAGGTCTGGGCTGTTAGGGAGTTGCAAGGAGGCTGCTGGGACAGTGGCTGTGGGGCTGGCTTTGCTGCTGGCTTCAGGACTGCCTTTCATCCGGAAGTAGCTATCACTGGCTGCAGCTCTGTGGGAAGGGGCTGGGGTTTTGCCTGTACTCATCCAATCCAGTTAGAGGGGATGTCCCAGCCACAGACCCAGTAATGGTACAAGCATTAAAACCAGACTCTTAGCTCACTTGCTGCGTGACTTGGCCTCTTTAAGCATTAGTTCTTTCCTCTGCAAAATGGGGACAATAGTATCCACTAAAAGGGATAGTGTGAGATTTAAATGAGCCATCAAGGTAAAGCAGCTAAAACAAGTTGAAAACCAGTCAGGCTTTTAAAGATTCTGGTGACCCTACTGGTTCTCATCTATCCTTGCTAGTTTTCCCTTATCCACCACAGGGTTTTCAACTCCCTGCCTTCATTTTGGGATTGGAGGTAAGAATCTGGGGAGAGAGAAAAGACAAAATGTGGGAAGGGGAGAGGGCTGTGCCTGAATTTAGGGGGAGTACTGAATGGAGAGGAAGAAAAGAGAACATTGTCTTCCTCAAGACTCTGGCCTCTTGGTCAGAGGGTATAGCATGTAGCTGGGGTAGAGATAAGCAGTGGGGTATGGGAAAGGGACAAGTCTTTCCCCCTCCTCTCTTCCTCCAAGCAAGGGCAAGGGCCTCTGGTCTCTTGACTTGTATTCTGATGCCCTGTGTCAGCAGGGCTCCTTTTTCTCAGCACACTCCCACCTCAGTTATCTGGATTGATCCTGGACGCACCATTGTGGAGAGGGAGGATGGGCATCTTTGTCTCCTTTGGGATCCAGGGGAGCCATACTGTACACATGGCAAAACCACCTGGACCCAGGCCCTGTTTTGTATGATGTGGGGCCAAGTGTTCATTGGCTGGCAGAGATTAAGGAAAAGTTTAATCAGGCTGGGGATTTAGCTCAGTGGTGCGACATCTGCCTCTCAATTGCAAGGTCCTAAGTTCGATCCCCGGTACCCAAAAAAAGAAAAAGAAAAGTTTAATCAAGGGAAAGTTCTTACAATATAAAACTAGCCATTTTCAAGCATATAGCTCAGTGGCATGCAGCACATTTGCATTGTTATGCTACCCCCACCTTGGCCAAATACTCATTAGGAAACTCTATACTCCTTAAGTGGTCAATTCCTGTGGTATTTCTCCCTGTATAGCCCCTTGCAACCAAAATTCTTTTTTTTTTTTTTTTTAAGTATCAGAAGGATGTTTACTGAGCCCCTCAGTTCCAGTTCTTTCTTCTGCATCGTCTCTTGGTTCCATGGAGACACCAAGTCTAGTGAGCAATGATGATATCCACTTTATGGCTGTCCAGCAGGGGTGTCTCCATGGATGGTGGGTTTTTCCACCTGGTGATGGTTACTAACTCCGAAAAGACACTCCACATGGTTCATGGCCACATCTCATATTCATGGCCAGCAGATCCTCTATGTCTTATCGCTTGTAAGCGTGGCTGGCCTTCAGGATGGATTTGTCACTTTGGCCACTTCCAGCCACCAAACCAACCATAGCTTTGTTGGCAGAGATCTTCAGAGAGTCAGGGGTAGCTTCATGCCTCTTATCTTGGTCTTAGGATTGTAGAAAATGATAGTGATATTGTTCTTGGAGGTTCAAATAGCTGGTCCTGTTTCACTGGCTTCTCCAGGTAGCACATGATGGTACCCTCAGACAGAATGCCTGTCTAGAGGACATTGCAAATGTTGAGCTGGGTCTTCTTCTTCTTCTTTTTTTTTTTTGTTTTGTGGTACTGGGGATTGAACTCAGGACCTTGTGCTTGTGAAGCTGGCGGCAGAACCAGAGTTAAATCCCCAGCCCTGAGCTGGGTCCTTGATGCACTATACCAACTGGCCCATGTGGATTCCCTCAATGTCCATGAACAGCTCCCCCTGCTTCTTAAATCTGCTGTCTTTCATGATGCCCTTGATGTAGCCATATAGTTCAGGAATATCCTAGGTGTACCATGTGTGATGACCTGTGTCATTTCCTATGCATGTGGAACACAGAACTGCAACCTACCTCTGTCCACAGATCCCAAGGCCAGTGGCAGAGGGTCCATTCTTTTTTCTTTTTTCATTTCTTATTAATTTTATTGCTACATTTTAGGTATAAAATGCAGTTACATTCATCATTGGGATCTTTTACCTTTACACGACTCATCTTGGTTCTTATTTTTTCCCCATTCTCAGCCCTCTCTTCACACCCTCCACCCTTCCCTATTTACAAAGTCTTTGTTCCCATATTTTTCCTTTTCCCTTTTTACCTTTCCCCTACCCCTCCCACTTCCCCTACTCCTTTAGCCCTTTTCTTCCTCTTATACAATATCAATTATACATTTTGACCCTTATTTCAGAGGGTCCATTCGTGAGTGTGGCTGAGAGCGCTGGTAACTACCAGTCTGCTTTCTGTCTATATGGTTGTACCTAGTTTGGATATTTTCCATAAATAGAATCATTTATCAGGTAACATTTTTGTGTCTGCTTTTGAAAAATTTTGCGGATTTTCACAGTTCATCCACATTGTAGTATATGTACTTCATTCCCTTCCATGGGTGAGTAATATTCTACTGTATGCACATGCCATATTCTGTTTATGTACTCAAGGAAGGGATTTAAAAAATTTGCTAATGAAGTTTTTACTGCCGTAAAATATGCATAACCTTTACCACCTTCACCATTTTAAGGTATAAAGTTCAGTGGTATTGTGTGTGTTTATATTGTGCCACTGTCACCCCGTCCATCTCCATGGGAAGAGACAGTTTAAATTTTGCAGTTTTCTTAGCTTATCAGACCACTCCTAGATCCAGAAATCTTTCTTGAGCTATGATAATATGAGCTGTGGTTTTCTTTCATTTTTTAGATAGTTTTGCTCTCTCTTGGATCATAGTTTTTATCTCATCGGTATCTTTTTTTTTTTTTGTACTAGGGATCGAACTCAGGACCTTGCACTTTCATCAGTATCTTTTTTCAGTGAGGAGCCTTCTAAGAATTTTGCTTCCCTCTCTGTGCCTTTAAACCGTGCAGATGGAGTTTCTGCTAGACCAGACTCTCTCCATGAAAGACCTTCATCTGGTCTCTGTTCTCTCCACATGGATTACATTCATGGCCATTTCCATTCCTCTCAAGACTGCATTTTTGTAACTTTTGTCCTTTGGGTCTCTGGATCTTTCTTCCCATATGGAAGCATCGTCCTGCAGCCTCACCTCCACCTCCTCCATCCCATGCCTCTGCTTGTCACCCAGTGTGCATTTGCAGCCTGAGGAAGTCATGATGGCTCCTTGTGACAGAGGCTCAGGGAAAGCTGCTCCCTCAGGAAGAAATAAGTGACAACTCTGCAGTTTTCATGCAAAATTTTTGGGAATAGGGTGGGGTAGCTGAAATGAGAGAGCCTGGGAAGAAGGGAAAGTGGGTGGGGAGGCGAGGCTTCCTGCCAAATTGTATAGGCAGTGGAGACAGCAGCGGTGGTGGTGGTGCTCTAAGCAGCAGAAGCAGCAGCTTTGAAACAATTCCTGGAAATTTACTCTTTCTCCCTTCCTCCACATCCTTTTGTTTTTTCCTAAAAAGTATAGACAAGACATTGTGACCAACAATTAGAAAGGAAGGAAGGTACCAGGGAAGAGGAATTGAGAGGCACAGATAAAGGCAGACTGTTTCCCAGGGTTGGAGTGGGGCAAAGGGCTGTGCTTGGACTCCAGAGAGAGAGTGAGACAAGTTGTCCCAGGAACTCCCAGGCTTGCCTGGCCTGTGTAGCGGGGGCAAGTGGATGGTGGAATGGTCAGCCTGAGAACTCGGGCAGAGATTGCATTCCAAACTCCAGCACAAGCTTCCGAAAGATCCCTGAGGGAAGAAGTCAAGTCTGGCTGCAGAGGTTACTCTGCCCTCCTGCTCTTAGAGATGCAGCCTGTCTGCCCCGCAGCCGTGGAAAAGGGGGTCTTCAGGCTCCCCAAAGAAGGATGCTCCCTTGTCCTTGGCTCTTGTTGGTCAGCTCTTCCCTGCTCACTCACCCTTCAGGAGACATGGTGGAATTAGCACTAGTTTGAAGATCACACCTGACTTTGACACCTTGTCCTACCACTGAATAGCTGTGTGACTTGAGCAAGTCACTTAACCTTTCTGAGTCTGTTTATGTAAAGCAAGGATAATGGTGCTTCCCTCACAGAGATACGTGAGATAATATATGTAAAGTGTTTGACACGAGCATGCCCTTCTACTTGTGGATAAGGAAGATGAGAACTCCTTAGTGGAATTAATATTGAGAGACCACTCTCTAGTCTCACCCCCAGCAGCCATATTTCACCTGAATTGGCTCAACACCAACTTTCTCATTTACTTAGTTGCATGGAGTTGTTTCCTACATAGAAGGATGGCAATATTCCCAGATATCACAATAAGTTACCACAAAAGAGAGGTAGTAATATTAACAGCCAACATGTTGAATAGTTACCATATTTGTTGGACAGTCATAAGGGGTTTTATTTGTATTATGTCATTTAACTTTCTTTTATGAAGTGGTTACTATTGCAGATGAAAAAAACCAAGGCACAGAGAAGTAAAAATAACTTGCCAAGGCCATACTACTAGTAGTTAATAGACCTGTTCACAATTCTTAACTGGGATACCTTGCACCTAAGATGTCATCTCTCTGCAAGGTATTGTCTATGTAAAGTGTTCTCTGTTGTGTGGGCATTTTTATGCAGTTGTAGAGTCTTCCTGAGATTGTCAAATAAGTTTGTGATGTCCAAAGGTTTAGAAATGTCTACCTTTGAAGAGCTTCTTATGGACAGGAACTAGCATGAAAAAGAAGAGCTGGGCACTGCTTCTGGAGGTGACTCAGGCCTGGGAATTCTTAGAAATGTCTGGGTCAAGGCGGTAGTGCCTTCTACATGGAACCTGAAGGTGGGATAGTCTGGGGAGAAGTTTGAGAAGGTGTAGGTGAATTATATTTGCTTCCCACCCCAATCCTTCCATAAGACGAAGGACAACTGTTTACTTACTCTCTGATTTCTTCTGTGGAGGAGGGGGTGCAACACGAGCCTAAGGAAGAGGAAGCTTGGA